CCAATAAATCATTAATTAACTGCAAGGGGGTACTTCTAATAAAGATATATATAATAATTATTCTATTTCTGATGGGCGGTTATATAGGAAAACTTTGGCGGGTGAACGTTTTGTAATACCAAAACTAGCTAAATATAGTATTTTGCAAAAGTATCACGACCATATTGGACATCCGGGGTTCGATAGGGTTGAAAAATTAATAAAGTCTGCTTACTGGTTTCCAAAGATGACAAAATTTATTAGGAAATACATAAAAAGTTGTTTACAGTGCACATACGGTAAATCAGGTTATGGTCGGCGTGAAGGAGAATTACACCCTATAGAAAAACTAGACATCCCTATGCACACCTTACACGTTGACCATTTGGGCCCATTTCCAAAAAGTCGACAGGGAAACAACTACATTCTTATTATTATAAACTCATTTACGAAGTTTGTGTTTGCTCGCCCAGTGAAAAGTGTGCGTTCAACAGAAACTGTAAAAGAACTCACAGATTTAATTTTAGTGTTTGGCAAACCCAGTAAAGTTATAACGAGTCGCTATTTTAAAACTTTCGTAATGGATTATCAAATCAAACACATTATGAATGCTATATCTGCACCTCGTGCAAATGGCCAGGTAGAAAGAGTTAACAGAACCATTCTGGATGGTCTTAGCACATCGGTAAAAGAAGAGTGTAGTTGGGACACAAAGTTATCCGACATCGTCTGGGGTATCAATAATACCCTACACTCGGTAACTAAAGTAGCACCATTCAGTCTAATGTTTGCCCATGAAAACAATCTGTTGCCAGTACCAACATCTTCATGCGAATTAAGTAATTACATTCAAAAACAAACTTTAGCTGATAGGCGAACACAGGCTAAATTGAATATTGACCAAAACATGACACGAATGAAGAAACAATTTGACAGTAGGCACAAAAAATGTACCAAATATAATGTAGGTCAGTTAGTCTTATGGAAAGGAGGTGTTACTGAAGAAGCCGTGGGTGTTAGCAAAAAGCTAGGCAGCAGGTATTCCGGACCGTATAAAATTGTTAAAACTAATCACGTCATTGATCGTTACCTAATAAACCAGGAAGAAGTCCAGTACGAAATATATCTGGAAGACATCTCACTAGATAATGTCCATAAACTTATGAACAAGGTTGAAGACATTCAAGAAATAGAAAACTGGAACTGGTCTTATATTATGGCAATCCCCAGCTGGTCTACAGTGCTCCTCTACATACTAGCAGCATCTATTGCAATCTGGAAGATATACAATTGAAATAAGCGATCGAGTAAAGCAAGTCGCGAGGACGCTCCTGGAAGCTGCAAAACTAGCTTCCAACTTAAGGAGGGAAGAGTTAACGTGTCGTAACCCTGGAATCGGGCTAACATAGCAGTTTCACAGAACAATGGGCAAATGAGGAATGCTTGCGCTGCGGAAAGGATCGCCGTGGAAACAATAGAACTGTCTCACAGTCTGACACCATCCACGCTTAACTGAACTTCTTTGTTACTTACTTACTTACTTATCTTCACGCACAATCCCTGACGGGGTAGCCAGAGAGAACAGATCGCCAAGTGTCACGATCCTTACATATCTCTTTCGCTTCTTTCAGATTCATTATCTTCTTCATACATGCACGTCTAGGTATCCGAGTACTCTTGACCCTACCCTCTTCGAGCAATTTGCTCACATGGTCTTCGAAAGTTAGTCTCGGTCTACCTCGACACCTTTTAATATTAACTTTCGCGCTATATATTTTCTTCACCATTCGGTCTTCACTCATTCGCTCAACGTGCCCAAACCACCGAAGCACGCCCTTATCAATTTTTGTGATAAGGTCATCTTTCAAACCTGCCATATTGCGAATCTCTTCGTTTCGCTTTCGGTCGGCCATAGTAACGCCGCACATTTTACGAAGAGATCGCATCTCCACTGCATTCAACTTACTTTTATGCTTCTTCTGGCATACCCAGGTTTCTTGAACTTCTTTGTAACTTTACATATTAATTGAATTTATTACTTTTGTAACTTATGTGAAATTAAATTAATTTTATTCTTTTTAAAAAGTCTTTTGATCGCCGCCATATCGTAACTGGCGCAGTCGGTCTTTCGCGACAATAGGTAGAACCTTCGACCAATTGAACGGTTTCAATCGTATAAATCGCGACTTCGAATCTACGACGGCGGCACGGACGAAGACCAAGTGGAGCTGACTCAGACCCGTGAGGAGATGCAGAAGGTGCTTTGGTGAGTACTCTCGCTATTTCAAGTTCCTTTTGCTCTATTTCCTTCCGTATTTACTTTAAGTAGTATATGTGATTCTGTCTAGAAGCTAAATCGCTATAGACATTTAGTTAGGAGATTAGGTATTCGTCTTTTAGCTCAAATCTTTATAGATTGCTATTAGCTATTATAGGATATAAGTCTAACAGCTAAAAATCGCTGCAGACTCTTAGTTGAGGTCCGGTAGTGTATACGTTTTATAGCTAAAATCGCAAATAGGCAGATACAAATTGCCCAACTATTTTAACTTATAACGTGTTTTTTTATTATTAATTTAAAAATGGCTTTTCCTAACGGTGAGGCAGCCAACTTTAAGATGATCGCGGAATTGATACCAAGGTACGATGGCAATACAAAGAGATTAAACCATTATATCAGAGAAATTGAAAATATTCTTAATCTTTTGGACGATACTGCCAGGGTACATCCGGCAATTATATGTCTCATAAAGAGTAGATTAAGCGGTACCGCGATTGATGCGATAACATACCAAGAAACTCTTAATTCTTGGGAAACTATTAAAGATGCGCTCGTACGTAGATTAAGGGAACCTAGGAATTAAATCCAGGTTATGCAAGAGCTTAGTAGGGTGCGGCGCAACAGAAACGAGGACGCCGAGACACTTGGTAAGCGACTTCGAGAAATACTAGACTATTTTCTATAGGCACACATACCAATAAATCGTACTACGAAAACATGGTAATAGAACAATACACGAGTAATTTAGATTTCCAAGTTTCTATAGCGGTGCGAATAGCACAACCCACCACATTAGAATCAGCCATAGTAATAGCGAGACAAGAGGAAGCGAAACTTTCCTTTAATAAGACATTCAATAATAATAATTATAGTGCACCATCAACATCGGCTCAGGCAAAGTTTAGAGAACCAATACGGGCTATAAATCAGCCTCAAAATTCCCTACCGCTTAGGTTTGGTAACTCAGGCCCCATGCAAAACCAGACGAGTAATAAAGCTCCAGTTCTGCGACAAAATAATTTGACTCCAGAACAGAGGCAGCAGTGGGTGCAATCCATGTTGTCATGGGAGAACCGCCCATCATCAGGTAACTTCAGGGCATCTTCAGGAAATTTTAGGAATAATATACCCCAGCAACAAGCTCTTGCACAGAAGGTTTCAGACGTCACAATGAGATCCGTCTCTAAGCCTCAAAAACCACAGTTTGCAGCTGAGGAGCTATTCTACACAGGCCCACCTGGACAACCATACGAACAACAATATGGCGAGGACGACACGGACTACGTGCATCAACAAGGTCAGTGTGCATACTGTAGTTACAACTACAACCAACAGGTATACGAACCTCCAATGGACGACGGTGAGGTTCAGCAGGATTTTTACCAAGGTCCGGTGCCCTCAGACCAAAGTTAGTAAAACTAAATAACCATGATAAAGACCACCTTCCATATATTGAGCTGCCAGAATTTCAAGGTAAGTTCCTTATAGACACCGGAGCCTCGCGCTCTATGATATCACCTAGTGTAATACAAAACACAATTTTCGAACACCTTGTAGAGTATGAACCATTCGAGGTAAAAACAGCACATGCCATTACACAGCACGATCAAGTGGCCTATCTACCACTGCCACTCGCGTTTAACAGCGATATAATTCATAAGTTCCTTATATTCGATTTCGACCCCAAATATTGAAAAAAATGCGATTCCCCTGGTGTTGCAGTTGTTCATGGGCGGCGGTAGTCACTTACCATCAGGGTGAGCCGCATGCTCGTTTGCCCCCTCTCCTATAAAAAAAAAATATAAAGGCTTAATAGGATTGGATTTATTGAGGACGCTATCGTGTAACATAGATATAAAAAAAATAGACTTTTACATGCCGCTAACTCGCAGATACCAATTTCATTTGACTATCCCAGTAAAAAACTCAAGATTGAACCAAAATGCGAAAAAATTATAGTAGTGAAAACTAATTATTCTGACGGTCAGTACATTCACGATGATTTCATATGGTCTAACGGCTTAAAATCTCCCGCAGCTATGGTCGAGGTCAAAGAGGGAAAATTTAGAACATCCATTATAAACTTTAATTCAGAAAAACGAATAATTTCTAATAATGAAAAGATATACCTAGAACCATACCGTGAGAACTCTGATAGATCTAGATGCAGTTTAAATTCCATAGAGGTTAACTCGGATATAGAGAAAGAATTACGCAACAACTTAAATAAAATACGTACAGACCATATGAATGAAGAGGAGAAACGCGAAATCACTAACAGCCTGGCCACGGGACATTCGCCATAGCGAAAATTCGCGCGGTGCGAACGACGAGGCGTCTTGCGACTAAAATAAATGTATAGAAATGTACGGATCAAGCCACGCGCAGCGGCGAGTGGCGAAGCGACCGGCGAAATTTACCGAGCGAATCGCGCGGGCGACTGGCGACGCGGCGGGCGACTGAAACAAAGGCATGAATCAGTACGACGCAAGCCACGGAGTGGAGCGGCAGTCGCGGCGAATAGTATAAGAAACAAAATATTTTAGTCGTTTTCGCCGCGAAAAATGAATACGGAAATTTTTATTGCTGAAATACTTGCTAGACCAGCTATTTGGAAGTCTGGCCACCCACAGCATAAATTCAAAAACGTAATGAAAAAATTGTGGGAAGAAATAAAAATAAAATTTTCTGAATGTGAAGGTAAGTAGCAATTTTTTTATTCATAGTTACAAATAATTAGTCAATAGGTTACAAAGTAGTCTTTGAAATTATTTCTTATGTTTATAGCTTGTGACGTAGCTCGATTATTCCGCCGAGACGCTATAACTTGATTAGATGTAGATCTAGAACTCATGTACCGTCTAAAATCGGGATCACTGTTTCCATCTTTTTCTCTTACAATATTATGTAGTAGACATCCAACCTTAATAATTAGTTTTGCATGTTTAGTGTCTGTTTCGATTGCTTTGAGGAAAATTCGCCACTTATTGGTCATTATACCATACGCACACTCAATTGTCACTCGAGCTCTTGACAACCTCTTATTAAAAACTCTTTTCGAGTCATCTAAACCACTGGACGGAAAGGGTCGCATTAGATACGTTTTTAGTGGATAGGCTTCGTCGCCTATTAGGACATGTGGCAGTAAAATATTTGACCCAGGTAATGTTCTTGGCGGTGGCATATTAAATTGATTGTTAGTAAGCAATTCATTAAATTTTGAAAAATGAAACGTGCCTCCGTCACTTTGTTTTCCTTTTCCACCAATCTCAATCACAGAAAATTTATAATCTGCATCAGAAACTGCTTGTAGGACCATTGAAAAAAATTTTTTATAATTATAATATTGGCTACCGCTCCGTGGTGGCTTCTGTATGCGAAAATGTTTTCCATCAATGGCTCCTATGCAATTAGGGAATTGCCATCTAGAAAAAAACATGTCTGAAATTTTTCTTAAATCTTCACTTGTTAATTTTGGTGACATATGCTGTATAACCAACTTTTTCCAAATTGCCTTTAAAGTTTGATATATCGTTTTGGCGACGGTGCTTCGGCCTAGAGAGTATGACTGAGCCAGAGATTTAAAAGTCATCCCAACAGAGAGAAATCTGAAAAACAAAAGATTTTCTTTTTATGTACCTACACATTTACTCTCGTGCATTTATATTTATTATTTTTTCAAGTGCCTAACTTCTATTTTATACTAGATTTCATTTCACCCGCGGCTACGTCCGCGTGGTTTTTGTTTCCCTTGGGAATTTTCTTTCCCGCGGGAATTTCGGAATGAAATGGAGCCTATGTCACTCTCAGGGCCATAAACTATCTCTATGCAAAAAATCACGTCTATCCGTTGCTCCATTAAGGAAGGACATACCAACAAACACGCATTTATAATATTAGTAAGGATTTAAATTAAACCTTTTTTTTTTCAGTCAGCGATCTCAAAAAGAAATGGAAGAACCTGAGGGACACATATAGTAAAGAATTAAAGAAAATGCCTAAATCCCGGTCGGGTGATTCATCTTCGAATTATGAACCAGCCTGGAAATACTTCACGCTACTAGGATTTTTGAAAGATGAGTACATGCCTTTAACTGCCGAATCAAACTTAGACGAAGGAGACAGTGAAATAATAATCGACTACGGAGACGATCATGATATAGCTGTTGAAGTTTTAAATGAAGTGAGGTCACCTTCTCCTAGTCGTACATCTTCACCGATTGAACCCTCTACATCTAGTTATCAAAGTTCAAAAAAAAAACGACAAAATATACAAGATATTCGAGCAGAATATTTAGAGATTGAGAAAAAAAAACTAAAAATTCTAGAAAACGATATCTCTAAAAATATACCTCTTGACAGTGAAAAAAAAACTGATGATTACTATTTTTTAATGAGTATTTTGCCTGAAATGGAAAAACTGCCTCCTACGCAAAAACTCAGGTTAAGAAATAAAATTAACCAGGCTCTTTTAGAAGAAATAACTGTCACGATATACGGCGAACCTTATGGGCGATGTTGTTACTCGTCTCAACCAAACCAACTAAATAATGTTAATAACGAATAGAGTACCTATATAGTTAACATCGAAAAGGCTATATGATTATAATAATGACTGAAGTGAACATAAAAGGCTGATTAAAAAGTAAAAAGTTATAATATTTTAGTTGTACGAAGAGTTAAAGTCATATAATTTAGATTGTTTCAATAAATAACATAATTGTCTAAAAGTATTTTCTTTTTATATATATATATATATATATTATTGAAGACGAGACGGGCCGCTAGTATCAATATATGTTACCTTAGTGTCAAAAACAATTTTTCAGCGGCGCGTAAAATTCTATCTGCATTGACTTTTTTCTCCAATTCTGGTTGAATATTAATAAGAATATAATCGAAGGTTTCGACACTCATTCTGGTATACTCGAAAAATTTTTGTGGATCCATTCTATACTTCTCGTACTTCTTGTGGAATTCTCCATCTATCACCCGATTCCTATTTAAATCATGTACTCCACAATCTCTTCCAAATACTATGTCTTGAACCAAAAAACTATTACTTTCTAAGCAATATCGAGATAACTTTGATAAAGGCATTTCAATCTCGACCTATCTGGTCGCGGTGCCGAACGTGACTAGACTCATAGATCTGTATATATACTAGAGATAGATGCGCGCGCGACTCAATTTTTTTTTTTTTTAGTATCGTGCTTTGCATAACAGACGGCGCTTACAAAATAAGGATCTTGAAAAAAAGTGTAAAATTAAACACATAATATGTTGGACGCGATCCGGGGTCTTTAGATTCCGGGACCGCCCAATTATCCACCTGAGCTATTTTAACCTTAAGTATGACGGCGAAATTTGTTGTCGTATTGTAATAATATTTTAGCAGATTTTCATTACCTGAAAACACAGATAAAATGGCTTTTTCTAAAAATAAATAATGTTCAATAAATATTAATAACAATTTAAGCGTAACCAGTGACCGCTACTAACTGCGTAGTGCGCGTGGATTATTGCGTATGCATAGACTTTATATATAAGTGCCCTCTAGTGAGATTAAAATAAGTAAAATAAGTCTAGCCTAGCGCTTAGGAGTGTAGATGGGAGCACATAAAACGTATCATTTTGTTCGTAAAATAATGTTCTAAGTTGCATGCCCATGTTCAAATCTTGTATTCCACAATGTCTTCCAAATATTATGTCTTGAACCAAAAAAACGATTACTTTCTAATCAATATCGAGATACTTTGATAAAGAGATTTCACTCTCGGCCTATCTGGTCGTGGTGGCGAACGTGACTGCCCGTGGCCGTCAAACCGCGCCGCGCGAATTGTCGCCCCGCCTGCCGCTTCGCCGTTCGCGCCGCCGATCCCCGTGGCCAGGCCGTAAGATTTGCTATCAGTATAAAGACATTTTCCACTCTGAAAATATCCCACTTTCTTTTACGCATGCAGTTAAACATCAGTTAAGACTGACCGACCAGACTCCGATATTTGTAAAAGTTATAAGACAAGCCCCACAACAACGCAAAGAAATACAGAATCAAGTAGACAATCTTTTAAAACAAGGTATTATTCGCGAAAGTATATCCCTATGGTCATGCCCTGTTCATATTGTCCCAAAAAAACCGGACGCACTAAGTAAGGTAAAATGGAGGTTAGTCATAGACTATCGAAGACTTAACGATAGAATAGTAGAAGATAAGTACCCACTTCCCAACATAGATGACATTTTAGACAGACTTGGACGCGCCCAATATTTTACGACCTTAGATCTGGCTAGCGGCTATCATCAGATGGAGATGCACCCTGATGACATAGAGAAAACTGCATTCACAACAGAGAGAGGACATTACGAATTCCTTCGAATGCCATTTGGCCTAAAAAATGCACCCAGTACTTTCCAACGGCTCATGGACCACATCCTTAGAGGTATTAACAACGTTTACACCTATCTCGATGACGTCATAATAATATCAACGCCATTGCAGGACCATATAGAGAAACTGAAACAAGTATTTGAAAGGTTTAAAACACATAATCTCAAAATTCAGTTACACAAGTCAGAGTTCCTTCAAAAACACGTCACATTTTTAGGCCATGAACTAACTGATCAAGGACTAAAACCTAATCAGGACAAAATTAAAGCGGTTTTAAACTTCCCTCTACCGAAAACACAAAAAAGAAATTAAAAGCTTTTTAGGACTAGTAGGCTACTATAGAAAGTTCATAAAAGACTTTGCCAAGCTTACGAAACCAATGACCTTATGTCTTAAGAAAAATAGTAGTTATACACTCCTCCGAATTTTTGGAGTCCTTCAATAATTGCAAACAGATTTTAACCAATGCACCTATTCTACAGTACCCAAACTTTGAGGAACCATTCATACTGACAACAGACGCATCGGACATAGCCCTTGGTGCAGTACTGTCTCAAGGAAAAATAGGTTCAGACAAACCGGTAGCATACGCATCAAGGACACTTTCGGATACAGAAGCGAAATACTCGACAATAGAAAAGGAGCTCTTAGCCATCGTCTGGGCAGTGAAATACTTTCGGCCTTATCTTTATGGACGAAAATTTGTCATATATACCGACCATAGACCCCTGACATGGCTAATGTCACTAAAAGACCCTAATTCTAAATTAACTAGGTGGCGGCTTAAACTCGCTGAATATGACTACACGGTTGTTTATAAAAAAGGACGGCAAAACACCAACGCAGACGTTCTATCCAGAGTCAAAATTTATCATATATAGCATCGATTCACTAGCAGTCAATTTAGATGACAATTTTGACGACGACATCATAAACAGAATTTTCGAAAACGTACGACAAGAGATAGATACGGAGACAGAAGGAATACAACAGCCCGTGGACAATAATGACGACAACAGCAATATAAACGATAATAACGTGACAGTTAGACCCAACGTACAACCCCCTCTAACAGACACAGAATCCGATCACTTAATATCGACAAACCATATGCAACCCGACAACGAAAACAACGGCATACCAATCTTATCAGACGCGATCGACAGACAACTAAAACAATTCCATGTCAGGTCAACTCCAGGATCAACATACAGAGTAGAAAATAGGTCTACTAACTCTAGAACAGTCATTAAAGATGTATTTATTCCAGTCAATAACACAGAGAAAGAAATTATCCAATTCTTAAAAGAACACACTATTGCTGATCGTGTATTCTACTGCTACTTTTATAATGAAGAACTGTACCTAGCATTCTCCAGAGTTTACACGACGGTATTTAACGACAGAGGACCTAAGCTTTTTAGATGTATTTCACGCGTTACCCTTGTCGAAAACAAGACAGAACAAAAAGAAATAATTAAGAAATATCATGAAGGCAAAACTGTGCATCGTGGTATCCAAGAGACATACAAGCAAATCCATGGAAACTACCATTGGCCTCACATGCTACTCACAATCCAGGCATTCATAAATCAATGTAGTATCTGTTTACAAGCTAAATATGAAAGGAACCCTCTTAGACCCTCATTAGCCTTAACGGAAACGCCCACAAAACCTATGCAACATATATTTATGGATCTGTATTCGACAGGCGGTGCCACCTTCCTCACTATAATAGACAATTTCTCAAAGTTCGCACAAGCAATACCGTTGAACGCCACTAGTAGTGTACATATAGCTGAAGCTTTATTTCAGGTGTTCTCAGTTTTAGAAATATCTTATAAAATTACAACGGATTCAGACAGTAAATTTGACAAAAGTTATAAAGGAGATGTGCGCTTTACATGGTATAAACATTCACTTTACGACTCCATACAATCCAAATTCAAATTCACCCATAGAACACTTTCATTCGACTATAGGAGAGATTATCAGAACCCAACGAATGACAAACAAAGATGATCCCATACAATTAATTATGAAATTTTCAGTCATTGCTTACAATAACTCAATCCATTCGGCAACAGAATATACTCTACACGAGTTACTATTTGGACATACAGCTTCTAGAAATCCACTAGAGTTACATTATCCTAAGCAGTTTTACCAGTTTTATCAAGCACAAAATGCATGCAGAAGCCGTCCAGGAATGTGTGTCAGCGCACATGGCCAAAAACAAGGAACAGGTAATAACGAAGCGAAACCATGCAGCAGAGGAGATAACATTCAAGGTAGGTGAAACAGTTTATAAGCAGGTTGCCAAAACAGCGAGAAACGATAAAACTAAACCGGTGTTTAAAGGACCGTATAAAATTATTCATTTACATCCTAATAATGTAGCAGAAATAGTAGGGAATCATCCTAATTCTAAGTCTATTCGGGTACATTTCAAGCTTCTACGAAGACCCCATCTTGTTCCAGGACAACCATCATCGGAGCCTTCGTGTTCCAGGCAAGATCCGACGTAACATTTCAACCCGTAGACAATACGAACGAAGTTCTATTCCGTGGACAAGGTCATATTCTGAAACAGACTGATTCCTTCAACCTTGCTTGTGTTTATAATGTTACGCACTTGAATCTAATATCGATAAAATTAATGGCATTATACGCAAGTGCTAAGGCAACTGAAAGTAACAGTACTTCAGAAGAATTACATAAAACATATAGGGATCAGATAGAACACAAGTTAGATTTAATTAATAAGAAAATAATTTTTATTGCACCTAGGATTAGATTTAGGCGCGGTATTATAAATGGACTAGGTTCTATAGTGAAGGTTTAGACAACGAAGACGCGATTCGATTTGAAAGCGAAATAAATAAAATTCGTAATTCGGTCTATAAAACGCAAAGCTCACAGAGGCGAACCTTATCTTTAGCTGAAAGTACTACAAAGGAACTTTCGAAACAACTAAGCAAAATAGATGATAACCAAAAGAGATTAACATCTATACTAAAAAACATAATTAATTCCGATACAATAAAACACCAGTTACACTTTTTAGAGATTTACGTTCAAATAAGTTTTAGTTTACAGATTATTTTAGATTAGTTAATGGTGCTAGAAGATGCTATGGCATTCTCGCAATTAGGTATAATGCACCCTAGTATTATAAGCCCACGAAATTTAGTTTTGGAACTTAGTAATTTGCAGAATGACTTTTCACTTTATCCAGTCGAGGAGATCAGTATTGATAATATTCATAAGATAGAAAAGTCTATTAGCGTTAAAGCCTATAGCACAGAATATTCTTTAACATTTATATTAGAAATCCCATCCGTCCAACCTATATTATATGATTATATACACATATATTCCCTGCCAAACAACCTAAACCTGACCATTATACCCAAATCCAAATTCTTCGCACTTGGAAGCGATGAGTACGCCTACCTGGAAGAAGATTGCAAGAAGCTGTCAGAAGATACCTGGCTCTGCAAATCACTGGATACTAGAGTCATAGAGAAATCTGAAGATTGCATCATCTCACTCATCAAGCATAAAGATGGTAACTGCACTCGTGCGCGCATGAATCTGAAGCGAGGAAAATTGCAGAAGATCAAAGAAAATAAGTGGTTGGTAGTATCAACGGAACCAGAAATTATAAAAACCCAATGCGGACAGAAAACAGAATATAGGAAACTATCAGGAACATTTTTCATCAACCTAATACAGGACTGTCAAGTTAAGATCATGAATACAACAATAAGAACACACACCAGCAGCATCTCGATGGACGAAGTCATCCCTCTACCCAACGAGAACCTAATAAACCAGGAAGAAGTCCAGTACGAAATACATCTGGAAGACATCTCACTAGATAGTATCCATGAACTTATGAACAAGGTTGAAGACATTCAAGAAATAGAAAACTGGAACTGGTCTTATATTATGGCAATCCCCAGCTGGTCTACAGTGCTCCTCTACATACTAGCAGCATCTATTGCAATCTGGAAGATATACGAGGTGGCCCAGAAAGACCGAAGTGGTGTGAATTCCTTATAACTTTTTTATTATAATTTTTTTTTTCTTTTCTTTTCAGTATTTTGTAAAGAAGACTTGGATAATTTATAATGGAGCAATACACAATTGAACAACGTGCCCAAATTGTTGAAATTTACTTTTCAAATCAACGGTCCATTGTGTTGACTCAGCGTGCATACCGTCGTCAATTTAATGTGCGGGTTGCACCCTCTCAGTCAACAATAAACCGTCTGGTTGCAAATTTTCGAGAACAAGGAGCAGTAAGGAACCTTCCTGGTCCCGGCAGACACCGAACTGTCCACACGGCTGACAATATTCAAGTGGTACAGGAGAGTATTCGGGAGGATCCAGAAACATCAACCAGGAGACGTTCGTCACAACTGGGCCTCTCAAGAACGTCGCTGCAGCGAATTTTGCACACCATAGGATTGTTTCCATACAAAATTCAACTTGTCCAAGAATTGAAACCAACAGATTACCAGCAACGACTTGACTATGCAATTTATTTCCAGCAAAAAGCACAAGAGAATCCAAATTTTATTCATAACTTAATAATGAGTGACGAAGCCCATTTTCAATTAAATGGGTTCGTTAACAAGCAAAACTGTAGGATATGGGCTACGGAAAACCCGAGAGTACTTCATCAACGACAATTGCACCCAGTTAAGTGTACCGTTTGGTGCGGTGTTTCTTCAGAAAGGATCATTGGCCCATTTTTTTTTGAAAATGAACAAGGTGTCGCAATTTCCGTCAATGGTGATCGATATCGGGCCATGTTGCAAAATTTTGTAAGGCCAGCCGTGGAAAACCATCCGCAAATATGGTTCCAACAGGATGGAGCCACAGCGCACACTGCGAGGGCCACAATGACTCTTTTACGCGACATCTTTGGTGAAAGAATAATTTCTCGTAACAGCAATTTTAATTGGCCTCCGCGTTCCCCGGATTTAACCGCTCCAGACTGTTTTCTTTGGGGCTATTTAAAAGGAAAAGTTTATGTTAATAAGCCTAGGACTATTGAGGAGTTAAAAACCAATATTCGAGAAGAAATTAACAACATACCACCGGAAGTTTTGCGAAAGGTCATGGAAAATGTGTTGGAAAGAGCACATTTGTGCGAAGCAGAATATGGCCACCACTTGCGGGATATCATTTTTAATAACTAATCCAAAAATATTCCCCATAAATTTAATGTATTTAAAAAAAAAATTAAAAAAATATCTCTTAAATAAAAAGTTATAAGCAATTCACACCACTTCGGTCTTTCTGGGCCACCCTGTACAATTGAAATAAGCGATCGAGTAAAGCAAATCGCGAGGACGCTCCTGGAAGCTGCAGAACTAGCTTCCAACTTAAGAAGGGAAGAGTTAACGTGTCGTAACCCTGGAATCGGGCTAACATAGCAGTTTCACAGAACAATGGGCAAATGAGGAATGCTTGCGCTGCGGAAAGGATCGCCGTGGAAACAATAGAACTGTCTCACAGTCTGACACCATCCACGCTTAACTTAACTTCTTTGTAACTTTACATATTAATTGAATTTATTACTTTTGTAACTTTTGTGAAATTAAATTAATTTTATTCTTTTTAAAGTCTTTTGATCGCCGCCATATCGTTAAATTTTGTTTTTAAAAAAGGATTTTCTGCGGAAACTCATAGTTTTCGAGAAATTAATTTTTTAAGTTTTATAGGTTAACTACTAGGAATCGTATAGAACAGTATTGTTTTGGCTTTCGGCCCTTGACATTTACATAATGACATTCTAAAGCATTAGAAAGAGACAACATAATGGTTGCATCTCCTTTTACCGCGTGTTATTTCAGACCTAAAAATTTTTTTGGCTATATATGGTAAATCTTTGCTTTAAAAAAAAGGAAACACTGGCTGTCAATGTTATATGATAGAATTTTTCATTCCATTGCCTTTGTGCTCTTGGCGTCGTTGTTTTTTGTGCGTGAGATTTGTTTCGTTATTTGCTCCCAACCTGACCCTTGCATTGTACCTTGTGACTTGTACCTGTTTTGACGATTTTACCTGGCATTGTATTTGGACTACGAACCTTACACGAACGACGACCCTTGCTTTCATATACCGACCTTTTTTTATTTGAGATGGCAGACAACAACCCTCAGCCGTCAACTAGTACCGTTTGTGACGCGCGCGCTTCATCATCAACCGAGACTGAGGCTGTTTATACCGACGGAGTATACGAGCATAGGAGGTTGCACGCGGAAGAATTAATAAAAATGCCGAATTGGACCATGCTTTTCAAAAAGCTACAAACTCGGGAGCAATGTGTGGAGTTCGCAGAATAACATGGCCTGGTCCCTAAAAATAAAATGTGCCGCCATCGTCGCATCCCGATGCGAATTTCATATGGGAATTGTAAGAATGTTGGCCAATTTATATGCACTAAAGGCAACTGTCGGGCACGCTCGAAAGTTTCTCGAGCTAAGGACACGTGGTTCGAAAACGTGAAGTTATCGATGCTGCGTGTCTACTTCTTAATGTACGCCTTTGCCCACCGATGGTCATATGACAATATAATATTTGAGGATCCGGAGAGAGATACGGAAGGCTGCCTCTCAATGGCAACAATAGCCGACTGGTATAGCTACTGTCGTGAGACAATAGTTATATACCAGATAAATGTACAAAAAAATATAGGTAAAATTGGTGGCCCTGGCAAGGTGGTCCAAATCGATGAAAGCAAATTTGGAAAGAGAAAATATAACAAAGGTATTTATATTTTTTAATGGTCTTTTAAGTTGGTTAAGTTTTTTGATATCATGTTTGACAGCCCGATTCAGAGCAATCCGACTCGGACAGATTAGATTAAAAGGTTAAGGCGCGAGCGAAGCCTTAGCCTTCGTGGTTATTTTTTTTATAACCACCCAGAAATACTGGCCCTACATAGCAGGAGTCAATTGACCTAGCTTGGTAGGTAAACAATATATATTGATATACAAAATGTTTAAGGCGAAACCGAGTTCGTGGAGACGGATATTATTTATATTTGAATTGCTTTTTAAATAATATTTTTGTGATTTGTTCTAGGACGACACATTGAAGGCCATTGGGTCCTTGTACTTATTTAAGATGGGAGTGAAGACCTTCGGCTAGAAGTTTGCCCGGAGAATGTGCGCTCAGCAGAAGTGTTGGTGCCCCTGATCCAGAAGCATGTGATTGAGGGGTCAATTATACATACGGACTGCTGGCGTGCATATGATTGTCTGGGTTCTTATAGATACATCCATAAAAAGGTTAATCACTCAGACCCAGACAATCCTTTTGTTGCTCCAGATGGAACTCATACACAAAGGATTGAGGCACAGTGGCGTGTCGTTAACACGTTAAACGCCATGGGGGTCACCAGTTGGCCGACAGCACACTAGCATTGAGGGCCGAACAGGAAAACACGATTTTCATAAATTTTACACATGCGGTATGTTTGCTCCATTTTATAGGAAATATATTAAAACCCATTCTCCAATAGAAAAAAAAATTACTACCTGTATATGCCTAAAAACAACTCACTCACCCCGTGTCCCCCACGGCCTCCACGAACTAAAAATCAGTTTTCCGTTAGAAGGGGCCACGCGGGTTGCTGTGTCGGACACCCCGCGCACCGCTCACTATTACTGCGCGTCGTCAGTCATTTGCTGTGCGCTCACGCCGTAAGAAGTTTGCTTAGTTACGATACGATACGTAATTACTAATTCAATTTATGCGTTTAGTTTTGATATTACCTACGTAATGGACGACTTTGTGGACTTTGAAATAAGTCAACAAGACTTGGAAGATATTGATAACATCGAATTGAATTTGTTAAATGACAGTTTTCAAATCTGCTCAGACGATGAACACGTTCAACGTAAGCGCCGCCGGCGTGTGATGGTGCTCGATAGCGAAGAAAGTAAGCCGGAGTATTTGGGAGGTATAATTGACATTACATACGATGCACAACGCGATACTTGGACGAGGCCAATAGGTAACCAGCGCCACGTTATTGCTTTTACTGAAAATCCTGGTCTCCCTATTGATCTTCGTGCTGATGCTAAAAATTATTCTCCGTATGATTTCTACACGCTTATGGTGAATGACGCTGTTTTTCAGCTTATAGTGGATGATACGAATCAGTTTGCTATAAATAAGATTGCCGCCAAAGAAGCTTCAAAGGAAGCACGAATTCGTAATTGGTTTCCAACCGACATAGTTGAGATGAAGTGCTTTTTTGCATTGATTTTATTTATGGGTTTGGTGAAGCTTCCTAAATTATCTGACTATTGGTCGCAGAATTAAATAATTTCCACGAACAATCATGTGAAGAAATCGTTTTGAGCTGTTACTACAAATGCTTCATTTTTCACAACAAGATGAAGCTAATAAGTTTGATCGTCTACACAGAGTTTCAAAGTTGTTAGATAAATTGAATGAAAACTTCAAGAAGAACTACATACCAGGTGAAGATTTATGCATTGACGAAAGCGTTGTACCATTCCGTGGAAGACTGATTTTTCGGCAGTACAATAAACAAAAACGCCACAAATATGGTATTAAAAAATTTAAACTTTGCACATTACCTGGATATACGTACAAACTAAGCATTTATGCGGGAAAGGAAAACGACAAGATCAACACTACACCAGCAAACGTTGTTGTCTTTATGCAGTGATCTGTTCGACAAAGGCCACACCTTATATACCGATAACTGGTACACAAGTGTTGATTTAGCGCGACAACTTTTGAAAAAAGAAACACATCTTGTTGGTACGAAGGTGGATTGAAAAGTACTCGGCCTAACACAGATCCATTCAATTCTAAAAATCAAATCTACCCACATTATTTAGTTCAGTTCAGACTAGTTCATTGTGTGAAGTTCGAAACGTGTGCGATAATTAGTTGTGATTTTATAAATTTATTAACAAAGTAATCGGACATAATTTCCGCGAATGGAGCAAATCGAGCAACGTGCCGTCATTAAGTACCTCCATAAGAAGGGGCTATCATCAAAAGCCATCCATGATGACATGGTCAGTACATTAGGCGATTGTGCTCTGTCATATTCATCCGTCAAAAAATGGATAGCAGAATTTAAGCGTGGTAGAGAGAGTGTGAAAGATGAACCCTGCTCTGGAAGGCCTTCGACGTCAACTACTGACGAAAATATTAAAAAAGTACTTGATTTAATAATGGGAGACCGCAGATTAAAAATTAGAGAGATAGCCGAGATTATAGGCATCTCTTATGAACGAACTCAAAACATCATTGTCAACGAGTTGGGTTTCCACAAGGTGTCTGCGAGGTGGGTTCCGCGACTGCTTTCAGTTGAACAAAAAAGGACGCGATTGACTATTTCACGCGACTGTTTGGAGTTATTTGAGGCCGATGCAGATGATTTTTTGAATCGTTTTGTTACTATGGACGAAACATGGGTTCATTACTGTACACCGGAAACAAAACAACAATCAAAACAGTGGAGAAGACCTGGTTCACCACCCCCTAAAAAGGCTAAGTCGATTTTGTCGGCAAATAAGGTGATGGCTTCAGTATTCTGGGACTCGAAATGTGTGATTATGATTGATTATCTTGAAAGGGGTCAGAATATAAACTCTGATTACTACTGCACCTTACTACGTCGTTTACGAGAGGAAATAAAAAAAAACGTCGAGGAATGCTCAGAAGAAAAGTCCTGTTTCATCAAGATAACGCCCTTGTTCACACGTCAGTACAGTCAATGGCTGAAATTCACAACTGTGGCTTTGAACTGTTACCGCATCCGCCGTATTCACCTGATCTGGCACCATCAGACTTCTTTCTGTTCCATAACCTAAAAAAGCACTTGGGAGGTCAAAGATTTTCGACAAACGACGAGGTCAAAGCAGCTGTAGACGCATATTTTGACTCTAAGGAAGAATCATTTTTTTCAACGGTCTAAATGCTTGGAAGGGGAGGTGGCAAAAGTGTATTGAACTTGATGGTGATTATGTAGAAAAATAAAAATATAACTGATTTAGTATGTGTTTATTTTCTTGGTTAGGCCGAGTACTTTTCAATCCACCTTCGTACTATACGAAGGAATCGGAAACATCTACCTAGAGAAGTTATTACTGCGAAACTGAAGCGCGGAGAGCACATTGCCATGGAAAGTGCCGATGAGATTACATTTTTGAAATGGAAAGCCAAAATAGATGTGTATGTTCTTTCAACTAAGCATAATAATAAATTTAGAAGGGTATTGTCTACAAATGCGCGCAGTGTCTTTTAAGCCACAAATAGTCCTTGACTATAACAAGGCAAAAGGAGCGGTAGATTTGTCCGATCAAATGACGGCCTACTGCACACCATTACGAAAAAATGTAAAATGGTACAAGAAGCTTGCCATAAACTTACTATTAAACACTGCGTTAGTCAATGCTTTAGTGCTGTATCAAATGACAGGAAGACGGATGCAAATCGTAGAATTCAGGAAGCAAATACTACTTGGCCTAATAGGGGAGAAACAAAAAACTGTAAAAGACTCGAAACCAAAAAGGGTAAATCATAGATTGGAAAAAAAAGATGGACCAAGTAAAAAGTGCCGCCGATCATGCGCTAATTGTTACAAGATAAATGTAAAAGTCATGGGACGAAAACAGGCTAAAAATAAAACCAGAAAAGTGGTTACATTTTGTGCAACGTATCCAGAAAAACCATTTCTTTGTTTCGACTGTTTTCATAAGATTCACAAGGGATAAGTGTGTTGTTTTTAAATTTTTTATACTAAGATAATATGATCTCGATAGATCGACTAATCTTCATTTTCAGTTCCTAGAACACGACGATCTCTTTAATTTTGTGATTTAATTTATAAGTATTGTTTACGAAGATATATTTAAGTTTTTTTTTTTATTAACTGGCAACTAAACAAGCGACTGCTGTGGCTGCTTCCACAAAAATTTCCTGTCTCGTTGAATAATAAAATCTTTATGAAACTTCTTTTTTTTTTGTTTCACACTTCATTTTGCTGTCGGACACTTCATACAAATTTGTATGCAGTGTCCGACAGTTGACCTACGAAGGTTGTAATAATCACTGTATATGGGGATAAAAGTTCTGTCATACAAAATCCTTTAAAAAATTCTAAGTTTTGCCGTTACTCGAAAACCAAGTAGAACCCATTAGCCTACAGGGCCGCGCGGGTCCCATTGTATTGAAAGAAACTAAGTTAACATGTCCGTTGGCCTGCCAGAAGGGTTTAAAGTGAACACGAGATCGCGGTCAAATGGTATCCCCCATGGCCTGAACGGAGAGTTTTAGTGTCGCCCATATGGTGCCCCCATGGCCTAAACGGAAATCGTACATTTTTGGGCGGCGTTTAACGTGTTAAAAAGTATTATAAACATAACATAAATAACTAATAAATAACGAAAACACATTAAGCGTACTCTTTGCCGACGATGTGTCAGTGTTAGTGAACTGCAATAAAAACACAAATTATAACTATATTGTCTACAACACTCTACAAACTATAACAAATTGGCTTGAAGATCACAACTTAGAAATTAACTTTAAAAAGACCAAAATTATGCAATTTAAAACATATAAAAGCAGCCCACTAACTTTAAACATAAACTTTAATAATATACAGCTAGAAGAAGTTGATACTTTAAATCTTTTAGGTTTGAAAGTAGATTCAAACATCAATTGGAAAACGCACATTAATTATATAAAGTCTAAAATTTCAAAATTTACGTATGCTTTATTTGAAATTAAATAAACCACTGACACAGCGACGGCATTGTCAGCTTACTATGCTTATGCTCATTCGTGGCTAAAGTACGGAATTCTGTTGTGGGGAAGTAGCGTCGATGTGCAGCAGCTTTTTATTACCCAGAAGAAGTGCATTAGAATACTAGCCCTATCTGGGCTAGTATTAGATAACACTACTAGCTGTAGACCGTATTTCAAACTACTAAATATTCTTACCTTACCCTGTATGTACATTTATGATTTATGCCTGTTTGTCCACAAAAATAATAATATTTTTAAGAAGATTAAAGATACACATAATTTAAATACACGTAACAAAAATAAATTATACCTACCACAGTCGCGAACAAAAATGTTAAATGCAAGCATATAGCTATATAGCTATATGGCAATAAAAATATATAATAAATTACCACAAGAAATAAAAAATATATCAGAATTAACGAAATTCAAATCAAGACTCGGTAAATATTTAAAACAAAACCCCTTCTACTCAGTAGAAGAGTATTTAGATATAAAATAACATTATTATATATTTTAATATTTTTTTATAGCTTTTAATAATATTTTATGTATGTTAATAGTATATAAGCAGCGCCCTTGTCAAATTTGCAGTGCCTGAAAAGGGCGTCTAAGTTGTAAGCACATTTTTAATTTAAGACCAATTATGTACACTTGGATTGCAAATAAATGATTTGATTGATTTGATAACCCTAAAGATTTTTCCGATAGTATTGTAGAATATATGTGGAGACGAAGAATACAAAGAAATAAAAAAGATTTATTTTTATCACTTATATAGGCCATAAACTTTGTTTATAAATTTAAATAAAGAATTTATTTTTACTCTTGTTTTATTTGTGCCTACATAGTTCTCTATGTAATATATAATATATATGAGTTCAGGCCAGAACAAAACTGGCGACACATCAGGTTTGGTAAGAATTGTGTCCGTTGAACGTAGATCAGCCCCAGAATCGAACCCCTGTAAGTAAGAAGGTCGAATGTAAAGCGTCAGACGGGGTAGAGAGAAGATGAGAGAAGATTAGATCCTCCTCCCCACTTGATTTAAACAAATACCATATTAAATTAATCAACATCAATATTTTATAGGTTAGGATAGATTTTTTAATATATTTCAGAAACTATACGTTTCCCCATCCCCCCCCCCCCCCTTTTGGGGGGTTCACCACTACCGCCCCCAACCCTCTCCCCCCCCCCCCCCTCCACGTGCAACCGTAAACTAAAGCACGACCTGGATAGGTAGTAGGGGTAGCTACAACCATTGTGTGATATTATAAAAACGATTGCAATAATGATTGAGGGGCTTTTCGTACTGTAAAATTAGTAGAGGAAACAACTAACAATCAGGCGTATTTATTATTCCTTTCTGCGACTCCTGTAATACAAAACATTCATCCACGCGACTACGCCCCTCTCCAAGAAAGTCAAGTGCACTTACTTCCCCGCGCCCCGCTTTGTTTACCTTCCTGATTGGTGCGAATAGTTCATCGGGTGACGCGGTTGCGATCACGCGATAATTAGGAAGTGACCTACGGCTACATCGTCGTCAGGTTGACGAAAGTTTAGTTACTACGTACGTTAATTTGCAAAGGTATGCACAATTATTTTTTTTATATTATTTATTATTTATACAAGGCTTACACGAAATATTTCTTTTTAGATTTATTTAAATTGATATGTTTTACTATTTAGTTATATATTAAGTTATTTATAGCGAAATTAAAATATAAAAAAATACATTTTATGAGATATTTCTTTGTTGCCACTAAATATTTGATTCTAAGATTTGCACTTCTTATTATTTTTAGATGGATTTGAGAAATCAAGAAGAGCAGATAAGTAAGTGGCTCGAATAAGTGGAAGATAAAGAGGAGGGTTCGAATGATTCGGCCTCAGAGACGGAGGATAACGTGGAGGAAGAAATACATATCAACACCTCTGATTCCGAATTCTCAAACGAATCTTCAGAACCCGAGGATGACATCATACGACTAAGTAAGAGACAAAGAACTCAAATTCTAGACTCTGATGACTCGTTAGAGGATATTCATGAAACTAATTCTCCTCAAACTTCAAACCAAGGTAACCAGCGTGTTCTTCAAGTAACTCCCCGATTCCTTTATGGGAAAAACAAACATAAATGGTCGTCTGTACCTAGATCAGCTACTACTCGTACTCTGAGACGGAACATCGTGCATTTTATACCAGGTCCAAGAGGCAAAGCTAGGGAATTACAGGAACCAATAGATTTATTTCGGCTTTTCATGACTAATGATATGCTGCAACAAGTTGTCACATTTCCCAATGCAGAGATTATTACTCAAAGGAACAGATATAAACAGGAGTCTTATACCGTTTCACAGACTAATTTGTTAGAAATTAAAGCTCTGCTTGGTTTGTTACTGATCGCCGCAGCTATGAAGAGCAACCATTTGCCAAATTGCATCCTATTTAATCCTCAACGATCAGGCACAATTTTTAAAGCTTGTATGAGTGCAGAAATATTTAATTTTCTCATTAAATGTATGCGATTTGACGAAAAACAAACAAGAAATGACAGAAGAAAAGAGGACAAGTTCACACACATACGTGAACTGTGGCAAAATATGATTGACAATTTTCAAAAATGGTATACGCCAGGATCATATATTACTGTAGATGAACAACTGGTTAGCTTTCGTGGAAGATGCCCATTTAGAATATATATCCCTAATAAACCAAATAAATATGGGATAAAGCTTGTTATGGCCGCAGATGTTAACAGTAAATACGTCATAAATGCAATTCCGTACCTGGGAAAAGGAACCGATACCCAAAAACAGCCATTGGCTACATTCTTCATAAAAAACATAACAATTCCTTTACATGGCACCAATCGTAACATAACGATGGACAATTGGTTCACGTCTGTAACTTTGGCCGATGAGCTATTACAGCCACCTTATAATTTGACTTTAGTAGGTACTTTGAGGAGTAACAAACGGGAAATTCCTGAAAAACTTAAGAATTCTAGGATTCGCGCAATTGGTACTTCGATGTTTTGTTACGATGGCGACAAGACATTAGTTTCATATAAAGCCAAGTCAAACAAAGTAGTTTTTGTGTTATCCACAATTCATGATCAACCAAATATTGAAGACGCGACAGGAAAACCGGAAATAATTCACTTTTATAACACTACTAAGGGTGCCGTAGACACGGTTGATCAAATGTGCTCGAATATGTGTGTCAACCGAAAAACTAACAGATGGCCATTATGCATTTTTTATAATATGTTAAATCTAGTTAGTATCAATGCCTATGCTGTTTACGTCTCGAACGACTTGAGAAATAAGAAGAAGCCGACACTACGACGCAATTTTGTCATGAAGATGGGAAACCAACTTATGGACCCTTGGCTAAGGGAGCGATTACAAACGGTGACTTTGAGGCGTGACATCAAGGTTATGATAAAAGATATTCTTGGTGAGTCATCAGAACCTGAACTCCCTGTTCATTCTGTGACCAATGTGCGTAAAATATGTTACCTATGTCCATCAAAGCCACGTAGGATGACAAAACATTGATGCATTAAATGCAAAAATGCCATTTGTGGATCGCACAATATTGACGTGTGTAGTAGCTGCGCAGATTAATTATTTATTGTTAAATGTCTTTCACATCAGTTGCTATAGTCTGCGCGGAAGTGCTAGTCATCGCCTTAGGTATGTGAGCGGCAGGACGGGGGAGGTAGACAAACATCAAGCTGACGCAGTCTGCCGTCAACCGCCGCGACGGTTACACGATTCAGTTGTACGCGACAGTTTTCTCCAAAAATACATGAGATAAATATTCTAAGATGGGTCCGCCAATACCACGACAAGTGAAAAATATTATTTATATATTATATTTTTTTTAAGACGAAAGGGCGACAAGGAAAGTATGGAACACAAATATGATATGAACATTAATAAATTAGTAGCAGAGGCTACAGGAGTGTCCCGCACCGTAATGCGAATTGTAGCTGAAGGAAATTCGAGTCTACAAACATCGGAAATTGCAAAATTTTCATCTCCGCGGAAACCTAAAGAAATAAAAAAGAGAATCCACATTGATGATTTTGACATGGGAGTTATACGAAGAAAAATTCATCAATTTTATACTAGTGATAAGAAAATCCCAAGTATTCGTAAGCTGCTTGCAGCTTTAAAAGAAGATGGCATTGTGAACTGCGGTTGTACCTATTTACGACAGCTTTTACATAAGATGGGATATTTATTTAAAAAATGTAAATCTAAGAGACACATTTTAATTGAGAGGCCCAGTATTGCTGAATGGAGAGTAAGGTATTTAAGAGCTATACGGAAACATAGAAATGAAAACCGAAACATATATTATCTGGACGAAACCTACGTTAATAGTAGCCACACCTCCAATATGTGTTGGCAATCCGAATCTGAGCCTGGAATTTATGCTGATATTGGCAAAGGGCGTCGTTTGGTGATTGTTCATGGTGGTAGCCGAGACGGATTAGTTAACGGTGCCTTAACAATTTTCAAATCTGATTCGAAATGTGGGGATTACCATGGCGATATGAATGCCACAAATTTTCATAACTGGGTTAGTCACAAATTGAAAAATAAACTAGCTCCTAATTCAGTGGTCGTAATGGACAATGCCTCCTACCATTGTGTACAGGTAAAGAAAAAACCTACTATGTCAAGTTTAAAAAGGGACATGCAAGATTGGTTACGCGAACGTAATGTTGAATTTACACCAGATAATACAAAAGCCGAACTCTTTCATTTGATAAATAGAACTCAGTCCGAAAAAATTTACGTCATTGACGAAATATTAAAGGCTTCAGGTCATATCGTTCTTCGCCTTCCGCCATATCATCCTGATCTCAACCCCATTGAGCTTGTGTGGGCCGATATAAAGAACAATTTAGCTACAAATTATATAAATACTTCATTGGACGACAAAATTCCAATCATCACAAAATTGTTTTCTGAATTCACTCCAGGAAGATGGCAAAAGTGTGACGACCACGTACAGAAAATCGAGAACCAATATTGGGACCACGATATGAGGTTTGACAATGTAATAGACGAGTTGATCATAAACCTGGGAAACGATTCAGATTCTGAGGAGGATATGGAAATTGAAGACATGTATAGTAATGAAGAAGAAGAAGATATGGATTAATTTTGTGCTATAACGGATTGTTTTTTTTTTATAGGATAAGGGTGACAAACGAGCACACAGTGCACCTGATGGTAAGTGCTTGCTGCGGCCCATAGACATCTACATCTATCCTCTATTACAAATCAAAATGTAGATGCGTTGTCACCCGTGATGACTAAGATGGATTGAGGTTTTAATAACCTCCTTATTTGTGATACAAACCCACAGGTCGAACATAGAATTCTCGCAGTATGGTAATTTAGGTTTAATTTGGGTGGTGAGTTTATAAAACTGTTTTGTATCATAAATAATAAAATGTAATTAACGCTTTTAAATACGTGTTAATTTTTGTTTAGCCCGGAAAATATCTCGTGTGCGTCTTGTCAATCGCGTCCTCCCCCGTCTCGCCGCTTGCATACCTAAGGCGATGACTAGCACTTCCGCGCAGACTATATTAAACCAAACTTAAGTGCCATGTAAACAGTTCCTATTTTAATAAATACTTTTCATAATTTTCATGTTTTTTATTGTGTAGTCTACCTGACGAAAGTTTAGTTACTATGTATCTACGAATATAGTTTAGTTACTTAGGGTTAAATTGGTTAAAACGTATTTAGAGAATCGGCAACAATGTGTTGAACGCGTATTGATGAAAGGTATAACCGCACGTCATTTAAATCTTCTTTTACCCATAATAGAAATGGCGTGCCCCAGGGCAGTGTACTGGGTCCACTGTTATTTCTATTATACATAAATGACTTACCGACTACGACACCACATCAATATGTACTTTTTGCCGACGACATTTCCATCGTCATACCTGTTATTAATTTTAGATTTTAGGTTTCTTTTGTACAGGTTTTGTACAGTTTTTGTACGGATTTCGTACGGAGTTTCAGATTTATTGTACGAACAGACTGTGTACTGTATACTAAGCCTAATGTCACGTGGGCCTTTCAAATAAAAAAATAATAATCTTGTTAATACCTCACACACAGCTTGTTTTATTTCATTTTAACATCTACCCACCCTTATTTAAAAACTCTTTATAAAAGAGTCTGATATTCCTTGTCCTTGAGGCATTTTAGAGTACACGAAAAGGATGGGAGGTGTGGACAGATTCGACCATAAAATGGGCACTTACCCTATTTCAGGATGCAATAGAAGGTGGGTGCATATATTTTATTTTTTGGTGGACACAGCTATCACGAATATCCACATACTATACACTCAAAATGACCGAGTGCTTAAACCGATGAGTGTTTCTGCTCTGACCTAGCACGTAATCTGGTCAACAATTACAGCTCCAAGATAGGAAGAGAATGTCTTGCCCAAGTTTGCGACCAAAAGACCAAAGGGACAAGTAAGCAAAAGTCTATTTATGGTATTTCTAATGAGCTAAAGCTGAGTGATGTGGAATCGCATATACCGAAAACTGCCCAGTTTATAGAATGTGCAGTTTGCAGCAGTAAAGCACTCGAAAAAAGAAGACAATCGTCAAAGTTCTACTGTGCATTGTACCATGTTCTGCACAATTTTTGATGAGAAGTGGCAATGTCCACACCATAATTTTTTTTGAAGTATAAAAAAGTGTCCCAAAAATTTTCGTTAAATATGTTTTATACAAGTGTTAATTTTTTTAATAAACAAGCCAGAATTTTTAGCCCTATAAAGGATTAATCAATTAATTTTGCTATCCACTCGTTAATTGACCCAAAAAGTATTATCCTTCTATATAACCTTATACATATTATTTACATTTTAATGTGTTTTTCATTTGTGCAATGTTTTACATCATACATAACAAAAAGCCTGCAAGTCGTGACATGTTCATTTTGTATGGATGTAAGCACAATGCTCTCGCCTCTCGCTCTCACGCACGTTCCGTCTATCTGTCTCAGTCACTCTCGCGCCGACCGACAGTGTGACCAGATTTAACAGAATTCTGCGATTTTAGCAAAAAACTTAAAGCTTGCCAATTAGTTTTTGTCATCGTAAAACAATTTTACTTGTGCAAGTAAGTGTTTAAATTTTTATTTATTCTATTGGTTATAAGCTTTATTTTGTTATTATTTAGTTCTTTTTGTTTTATTATTTTCAAAAGCAATTATTAATCATTATATTGATGTTACTTATAAACCACATTGCCCACTTTTTATTAAATGTAATTTAAGGTTGTTAATGGATTTTTTATGTTTATGTTTTAGTATGCTCCGCTTGAATAACGAGGATATACGGAACTACCTCGAAAATTTAGACGATTCTGAAGATGGTTTAGACGGCTCCGAATCGGAAAGTGACGAGGATGGAAGACACCTATTACCAATCGGCTCGGGAAGTTTTTCGCGTCCTGGAGGGTTCAGATTGCGAAGAGCGTCACATAGGTGAGAACATTCAAAGTCCCTCTTCTAACCAGCTCGATGATGATATGGATCACCATATTATGGAAACATGATCTGTTTACAATAAACGACTTCATTTTCACATCGCCCTAGAAGACCTCTAGTTTTTCGACAACGAAATCTTATTACTAGAGAAGAGGATCTAGAATTTCAGGAAAATACTCAATTGCCAGAAGAACTTACACAAAGAGAGACTCCTTTAGATTTTTTACCTATTTCTTCACGCCAGATTTGATAAAACATACAGTTGAGCAAAATAACTTGTATGCCACGCAGAAGCAAGTATCTAACCCAGTCAACGTAGACGAGAATGACTTGAATAAGTTTCTTGGAGTTTTGATTGTTTCTTCTGTAATTCGTTTTCCTAATATTAGACTTTACTGGCATGACAAGTATGGATATGAGCTTATAAAACAACGATGTCTCAGAAGCGATTTGAGAGGATAAGGTCCATTATACATATCAACGACAAAAAGAAAAGTTTGCTAAAAGAACATCCTGACCATGACCGTTAAAAAGTTAAACGCGAAAAAATCCATAAAAATTAGTTTCATTTAATGTGTAGTCTTCGCGTAAATATAAGAAATCATTATATAATAATGTGATTTTTTCAAATATTTTTCTATTTATTCTTTTTGAAATAAAAATTCGCGCAACGAAGGGTTAACTATGTTTGATTGTGATTTAGGTATTACAGTTACGTTCTGATTACCAAACTGAGCACCAAACGCTAACGTTGTTTTCGAAACCGTCTGTAACAGAAGAGACAAAGAAGCTGAGCTCAAAATGTGTACATTTCTGGCAGAACGTAATTTACAATTTAAGAGTTATGGATCATTTGAGTTAATTAAAAATGTTTTCACGATTCAGAAATTGCGAAGTCATTTTCTTGCAAACGAACAAAAGCTGCTGCATTAGCATACGAAGTTCTGAAACCAGTAGTGGAAAAAGAAATGCATGCTGAATGGGTTTTTCTTGCCTAATTGTTTTTTTAGTTGTCATTTATGAAAGTCCCACATCGGTACTTTGGTTTTGGTTTTCCATTTATGAAATGGGTCGCTTTTCGC